AGGAGACAAGGTCAATGTGAGCTATAGTCTCTTCAGTGCCTGTCCTAGTTCCACTCGCTCACTTGTTTTGAGGAGACACTTGTTTTGTGGCCTTTTAGGTCACAGATTCCTTCTCAGCCTTGGTGGAAGCTGCCTGCTCCCACTTGAATCAGGGTCACAGCACCAGGACCGTGCTCTAGGTGTGGGACAACTGCATAGTGAGGAGCACTGTACTAAACAGTTACACCCTGAGCAGGTAAAACAGAATTTTGCTTTTGCTTCCCCAAAGGCTGCATCAAACATAGAAAGCTATACAAACTCCCTAGGGCATTCACAACACACCACAGAAGTTACTCTAGATGGACTCTGCAGAGGGATGCTCTTACCTCATAGCCTACAAGGCCCTACCCTCTCTTATCTTTTATCTTAAAGGTCTTTTCCAGCCTAAATGATTTGCCTGAGTCTTGTTTGCTTGTATTGGGAACTCTGGCTGTGATGCCCCTTCACTGCAGGCTCTGAACATGTCCAAGCCACCTCCTTAATGGATCTCCCTCTCCCGTTCAAGGGATATGTCCAAAGGAGCTGTCACCTTTAGTGCAGAATGACCCTTGTCTCCATGAGGGAACATAACTCTGTCTTGATCCTTTCCACCATTATGTGTTTAATCCTGCATGGTTGACTGTGATAATCTTAACATATTGTTTTGGGATCTCGCACTGCTTGTTTGTTTTTCTGATTGTTTCATTTTCTAAGTGTTTTCAGACAAACTGTAGGCTGCTTCCTGTTACCTCAACAAACCTCTGTTCTCTTCTCATCCGTCACTCCCCTTTCTCCAGTTTCCCATGAGAAGTTAAATTGCTGTTAGGATCTTTGCTCTTCTTCACTTTTTGTCCAAGATATTTTTTTCTGTGCAAGTCTCTGTCCAGTCCTTTTCTTCTCTGAAGAGGTAAAGCTGCACTGATCCAGGCCTAAGTGTATCAGCAGCTTTCTGCTTTCTTCAACAACTAGGAGTCAAAATCTGTGGGTTTATTTTTTTAGTCCTTGAGGTTTGACTAGGAATGTACAGGCAAAATCATATTTCAATATAATTTTGTCAACCATTTTGTGGTCGCTCTGGTGAACAGTGGGTTTGATATTTCTTGGTTACTTGCTTTCTGACACATAACTCTGATTCTGCTAACCACCAGTCTTAAAGACAACAGTAGAAAACAGGCTGCTCAGTTCATTCCACTTGTCTGTGGAGGACATACTGATGCTGTCCATTTCTGCCATGGTCTGGTCAGGTAAATCCAGCTCATGCTCTTGCCATCTGAAATTACAGCTGCTCCTCTTGTCAGGGACATAAGGGAAATTTAGGGCCACATCCCTTTGATTCCTTAGGGCCACTACTGTGTGGTAAGGATTTGAGATGATTTTCTTGGGCAGGGTGATTTCCTTAGAAGTATCCTTAGTCTGATCCTGGACATGGGTTACAGGCTGTCTCCAAAATAGAGCTGGAGCCCAGCAGTCTGGCCAATGTTGGCAGAAATAGCACTGTTGGGTTGTACAATATGATCTTCATCTCTATGGTCTTATTCCAGTCTTGGTCTTACACTGACATTTAGACTCTATTGCTGGTTGAGCCTTTTTATTCTTTTTCCTCAGAACTTGTAAAAAATACTTTATCTCAACCCAGCAGTATCATCTGTTCTATTTTTTTTGTTGCTACTTTTTTAACAAGTGAGTGAGCAGAGGCAAAGTGACTCATTCTCATTGGTTTGTGTAGAAGATCAAAAGGCTGTATTGACATGTTCTGAGAACTCTCTGGATGAACTCCAGCATCCCCAAACATCAAGTGTAGCCTCAAACTCCCTTTTCCAGCTGGCCTTGTCTCCTATGAGTCTGGAGTTCCAGAGCAAAGAGGTTCAGTGAGCCATGGCATCTTGTGCTGCAGGAGCTCCCTGTGGTAACTGGGAGCAGCTGGAGGGTCCACCTCCTAGCTGGATGACTCTGCCTTTGGTTGGAAGTAATTTTTCTTACATCAGAAGGTTTTGGATTTTTCTCTACCCCTCTTGTACCCTTGTTGAGTAGTTGTCCTTGCCAAGATGACCTAGAACTTTGCTGCCTACAGCCTCCTGGTTCTGGGAGAGTAGCAGTGTTGGGACACATCTTCTCACATCACAGCTTATTACTTATCTCCTGTGTTCAATCCCATCTCCTTGGACACCACCACCACAGAAAATGACATGGGTGGTGCAGGGAAAAGAGACTTTGTCTTCCAGTTTGCGCAACAAGAAGTTCTGGGAATAGCATGGAAGTTTTCAGTCTCTGTGACTGTGGTGAACTTTCCTAATGTACAAAATAGCCTTTGGTTCAACTGTTGCCCATTTCATGTAAAAGGTTTTAACTAGATGGAAACTATTTAATTCTTCTGACTCAAGGATGTTCTTCTCTAAGGAGACCAGTTCTGGTGGTATTTCTACCTGGGTGAAAGAATTGAGTGACTAAGGAAACTCATGACTAATTTCACTTGTTGGCTTTTCTGCTATCACACATTCTTATCTCCTGAGCACTGGGACTCAGGGGCTTCCCCAGGCTTAGACCAATCTTTGCAATGTCCCCAGGAGGAGGTGGATTGCCTGTGTCTGCTCTGCTCCCCAGCGTGCCTCCAACACTCTTGCCAGCAAACCCAGTCACAGCTGTTTGCTTACTCCTATTTTAGCTCCATGTCTGCAGCATTCTCATTCACTTGGATAGGGCAGTCTAGCGAACAGCTAGTCAAACATTTGACTTGCCTGCAAGTGCAGGCATTGCTTTAGCCACTAGTAAGTCCTAAGGTGGATAAGCCACATCTCAGCCTGTGCTAATTGGTGTAGTTTGGATTCACACTCACAAGGTTAAAATCTCCACACCTGTAGTCACATAAAAGTGCCTTTGCTGCTTTTCAGGCTCAGAAGTGTTTAGAGATCAGACCTGTCGCTTTGGCAGCAAGTCATCCAGAAACCAAATTGTCTCACAGGAGATGGGTACCATTGCTGTTCCACTCTCCTTTTAGTCTTAGATTATACCTTTTCCCAGAGCAAAGCCACAGGCAGGTGAGTGTTGGCTGTAAAGAATCCACTGATGTCTTGAAGGAAAAATGGAAGAGTAATAGTAAAAAGTCTTTAATTATGAGACCTAGTAGTCCTGTAGATTTTAGTCCAAATAGGACTGCATGACTATGTCATGACTTGGGAACTGTTACCTGTGATTTATCAGAAGAGTAGGAAGTTGTCCAGTCAGGTGAATTTACACTGCAGAAGGTCTTGTTTGTCTCTGAGCTACAATATGAAGCTTTTTTTAGCGCAGCATTCCGATCTGCACAAGCAATGCTTTTGATTCATGCTCTGACTGGAATAAAGATATCCCAGGATTACTTCTATTGAGAAATGAAAATGTGTTGATTGCCTTAACTTGGTAAATATATTTACCTCAAGATAGAGTTCTCATTCTTTTCCCGAAAGAAATGTCAGAGAGGTTCAGGTGGTTTCAAAGAGGTCATGCCTTGTGTGGTTTATGTCTGGTTGCCCATCGCAATACATTGCAAAATCACTGAATAAGCTGAACAAAATTCTGCCTTTCTACATCAAGATAAAACTCTGAAATGTTCTTGTGAGACTGAAATATGTCAGGAAAAAAAATAACAGTGTGTTTTAAACTGCCAAAATATTTTTGACGTTTCCCCGGATCAAAATATTTTTGGTTTAAAAAACTGAGTTAAGCGTGTGCATTTTCTTCTAGTTCACTATTAAGTACAACGTTTCCAAAAGTCTGTTAGCTCATGAGTCTTACAGCTTAGGAGTGTACTGCTGCCATTTTAACCTTTGATACAGTTTGTCTTCGGAGTTTGGCTCCTGCAGCCAAGACACAGCTTGGGTCAATTAAAAATTTATAGAACAGTATAAGGAATACAGTCTTCCAAAGAACCTAGGAAGAGTAACTTTTTCCAGACTGCAAGGGAAGTGTAACCCTGCATTATCTGATGTCGCCTGAAAATGGAATAGCTGCAACACAGTTCAACAAAGTGAAATATTTAATTGGAAATGAGTGATCTGAACAAAACTTTCCTTCATAATTTTCTTCACTGAAATTTGAAACAAAAATAAAAAAAAAGAGGGGAGGGGAACAATTTGATTATTTGATTTTTGTGAAAACTTCAGTTCCTGTGTGAAAAGTGTATTGCCATTGTGTTCTATCCAACCTTAAGAAGGAATACATCTTTAAAGAAAGCAAAGCAAAATAAACCACAAGTTTTAAATGCTCAGTACAGTGCTGAATTGCTACAACTACTGCATCATCTGAGCATCATCCGCCACCTGCCTGCTTTTCTGCACTTTTGTCTGGCCCTCTAATTGTATGGGCTGTAATCCTGACCCTGCTTAAGTCAGTGCCAAAACTTCCACTGATTTCCTTTCAGAGAAGGGGCTTCACCTGTTCTCTGTTTTAGTAGTCACAGGTATAATGAAATACATCTTAGCTGTCACAGAACCACTGTGCAGTACTTTTAATTTTCAATCCTCCTGTTTTACTGGTTCTGAGAGAGAAAGTCTAGCTGCCTAAGGAGTCATAAGTATAAATCTGAGACTCATTCTGTATTTCATATAGTAAATTCTGAATACTCCTATTGAAGTTGCATAAAGGAACTGCAAGGAACTGTATGACTAGGGGCCTGCCCTAGTCATACAAAAAAATTCTGTTGTGTTTTAGCACTGCTGGTAGGTGTTCTGCAGATTTGGTGTTTAGGAACTGGTACGTGTTTATGACAATTTAAATTTAGGGTTGTCTGTGAAAGGACACCTCTGCTTTCCCTCCTTCTCTGTTTGTCACTGGTGGGTGAACGTCATTAAATCATGGTGGTGAGCAAAGTGAATTGGAAATGGGGAGACTGGGGCAATTGGAATGGGGAGACTGTTCTCCTGGGGCAACAGAAGGCAGCATAGAAACAACTAACTGTTTGAATTCTTCCCCCTCCCAATGCTCCCTACAACGTGTCCTAATGTCATACAGATCCTCAGCTGCATGAACAAAGCTTAACATACTCAAACACCTGGCAGTGGGAATGTGATATCATCTGTGAAGGGAGCACGTAGGTGAGGCTTCCAATATTTCATTCACTTTACTAATATACAGTGTCTTGGAATCTTCCTCTACTCTGTATTCTGTGATTTGAGGCTTTGCTCAAACCCTTGCAGCTGTAAACCCCAGGTTCCTTGTGCATGAGTTGTACAGCAGCCTCTGGGAGCTGGAGTGAGCCTTATTTGTGGACTTCCGTCTGCTGTTGAATGATTCACATTAATCCCTCTCTAAACTAGTAAAAACATCTCCATATTGTGAAGAGAACAAAAATAACAACGATTTGCCAAATATTTTTGGCTCTTTAGACCTCAGTAGTAACTGAAACACAAAGTCTTGCCTTTAGAGGCTCCTGGGGTACTGTTGAAGTTGGGGGTAGGCTGAGGAACAAGCAGCCTCTGCAGAGTGGGGGACAAGGCACACCAGTTGTTAGCCCCACTTCTCAGCTATTTCTCAGTCCAAAATGCTGCTTGAGATTGCAAAACTCATACCCTGAAAAATATTTCAGCTTCGTTCATGGGAAATTAGTCTTTTGTGCTCCATGTTCTCATGACTGTTCAGCTCCTCGTGTCCCTGTGTGCCTACTCTTCTATCCCTCCTTGTTTCCTCTCTTTGAGACCTAATGGCCTTTCTTAAATACAGGCTACTGAACACCTGACAGTCATAGAAACATAGAATCAGCTGGGTTGGAAGGGACTCCAAGATCATCAAGTCCAACCCTTGATCCACTACTGCTGCGGTTACTAGACCATGGCACTGAGTGCCACATCCAGCCTCTTTTTAAACACCTCCAGGGATGGAGAATCCACCACTTCCCTGGGCAGCCCATTCCAATGTCTGACCACCCTCTCTGTAAAGAAATTCTTTCTAATCCCTAACCTAAACCTCCCCTGGCACAACTTGAGACCATGCCCTCTTGTCCATTCTCTCCTCCCAGATAAGAGACCATATGGTGTTAAGTGTCCCGTAGGAACAATGAAAATTGGTGTTCAGATTTTTTTTTTTTTTTCAAAAATCCTGAAGGTATTTTCTAGTGCAAGTGGCTGTTTTCAGGAAAATAGGTGTGTATCTGCATGTGTGTATTTACCTCCTTCTCTGGGAGGTAAATGCTTTTTCTTGCCATGATGGAGTCATGAGGAAGTAAAAATTCAAGCTCTCTGAAGAACTGCCTTTAATGAAGGAAAGAGCATATGTATTTACCAAATGTGGAAAAATATGAAAATGTGCAGTGTTGAGGAAGAAGGCTCTCCTGTGAACCTCCTGCCCACACAGCATCACAAACATTCTACTCCCAAGAGCTGATGATGGGGAATGTTTTCAGATGAGAGCAGGATATGCACAGTTTCACTTTCAACAATGTCTGGTTTACAGTGATTTTCATCATATTTGTGAATGTGATGTCTACAGACTTCGGGAGACTGCATGATGTTGTCCAATTTTTTTTTTTCAGACTTTTTATTTTTGGCCTTTGCAGTTTTCCATGGGAGTTTACACAGTCTGTATAGTAGTATGCACTAAAGCAAAGCGTTTCTTATAAATCTGCTGCCTGAAAATGTGACTGGCTGCCCCAAGATTTTGTACAGTGAGAAATAACCTTTGTCTGCTTATCTCTTTATCACATATAGTTGTACGTCTGCCTACTGACTGCTCCTCCTATAGTAAAGATTTCCAAACTGAAAAATTCTTGATCTAATCTCTACTCAGCTTCTAAGCCTTTTCTTTTTCACATTGCCTCTCTCTTCACCTGATTCTAGTGTATCTTCCCAAAGGGTAACTCCTAATCTATCATCTTTCATGAGTCATGAGTTTGTCTTCAGTGTATGAGGACATCAGCTTCTCTTTCTCAAGTAATTTAATAATTATTAGCATGTGTGTATAATTGGCAGGTTTTCTTCTCCGGTTCTATCACATAATATTTACTGATTTTGAGTTTTGTCTGCTGGTTTTCTGTTCACTTGCCCTCTGTGACTGTTCAAATTTACCTTCAGATTTCACTACTATGAATGTTTACAAAAACTTTATAATCTCACTGTTCTCTGTAATGTGAGGAGCACACATTTCACCTGTTAAAGTTAGAACAACAATGTATCTGGGAACTATTTGAAAACCTTTGGGGAAAGCCAGACATTTTTAAACTTCAGCCCCTGATGTCTTATTTTGTTGTCACTGTCTTTTCAGAGCTATCCACAATGAAATCCCAAACCAAGTTTTTGGTGTGGGTAGGTGTATCTCGAGCATTCACAAATACCTCTACTTATTTGTCAGTTGTAAAGACTTCTGAGAGTTTTTCTTATTTCTGAACTGTGTACACACACACACATTAAATTCCCAGTGTTAGCAGGTGATTGGCAGTTACTGGGCTTTTTCCTGGTGTTTCATCTCTTCCTGGGAAGTGATGCAAAATGGGAATACTTTCCATTTAGATGCTGTTTTCAGTCAGTTGTCAGTCTGCCGAACTCATTGGCAGTGGCTGCCCCTGCCCAGCTCACCTCCTGTTTGGAGCTGCAGGAAATGCTTTTCAGAACAGAACAAACCCACCTTTTCTCTCTGCAGCTCCTGCACTGATCAGGGTTTTCCCTCTGCCCCTGGGATGCCCATCTGAATTTGGCAGACAAACCACTTTTGCAAGTAGAACAAAAATGAACCCCAAGTCACACAGACTCAGATCCATCTGCATGTCCTTAGCAGGAGGGCGTTCCTGTTTGGCAGCCAAGTGTTGTGAATGTGTCTCAAGGGAGACTGTCTCCATGTCTGGACTGTGGTTTTGCCATGTCATTACTGTAGCAAGCAAATCTCCTTTTTACAAGAATCAAGGGGGCAGGAAGTTTCCTGGAATTCTCAATGCTGCTGGTTTCTAAGTTAAAAAAGGGAAATCATATAGGGGTGAGTAGGATAAAATGCACAGCAGAGGGGAGGTGTGGAGATGTGGAATGAGCCAGTGTGTTTGTGGATCTGGGAGAGGGAGCTGGTGTTGACAATGAGGTGATTGAGGAGCAGTGGTCATGCAATGGGGAGATGGAGAGGGTCAGGACTGCGTAGGAGCTGGGCAGGAGCAAGCCAGGAGTAAAGAGAAAGCTGGCTGGGAGGTGCTGTGCAGCCTTTGAGATGTGCAGACAGATAACATAACAATTTTCTCATCTCTCTGATCAGAAGACCTTCCTCTGCTTGCAGCTATCTTATTCAAACTGTCTGAAGCAACCCACCTGCATTTTTTCTGAGTGCTGTTTCTAATCCAGGACCTAGAAATAGCTGCAAGAAGCATAAATCAATTCCTTATTTTTTTTATTTGTCAACAACACACTTCCCTTGTACCTGCCTGACGTAGATTCTGCAAAGAGGAATTAGTGTGGATTTCCATGTTTAGTCTGTCTTTAACTTCAGATCAAAGATGTTTAATTTTAAGCTAAGAGCTTCTTGGCTACTAACTTCATTCTAAGATCTGGAACCTGAGCTCCTGTCACAGCTCATGTTATCACTAGAAATAAAGACTCTGCCCTAGAAACTCAGCTTGACAATTTTTGTTTCTGAACCAGAACAGGAGCTTGCTTGTTCCTCCAGGGAGATCTTAAATATATGCTTTTGTAGATTAAATTACCTGGGTTTACTCCATGTAAGAAGTGAAGGAATGAGTAAGATTAGAACATTTTTCAAACAGGCACAGGCAAATAAGCACCTGCAGGAAGATAAGTTATTCTCCAGATCCATTGTGGATGGGACAAAAGGTAATGAGCTATTGTACTGGAGGAACATTCAAACTAGACCACCGAGATGCCTTCTAATGGTAAGGATGGAGAGGCACTGGCATCGGGCATCCATGGCAGCTGCTGAGGCTCTGTTGTCACAGCTTTTTTGGATGAGGCAAGTGCAGGAGCTGTCAGAAGTGAGTCAGGCACAGTGGCAGGTTCCAGAGCTGGTGGGCCCATAGCAGACACAGGCTATTGAAACACTTGTGGCTTGTACACAGGGCAGATGTTCTGGTTAACAAATCTTGTTCATAAAAATGCAGCTGCAGTCTCACCCTTTTCATCTTTTCAAAGGCAGAATGCTCTTTTTGCACTGATTTTGCTTCATTAGGAAGTTCTGAGTTGCTTGGCTTCTCTTGTGCAAGGATTTCTCCTTTGTCACAAGCCCCACAGTGTTCTTCATGTCCTGGTATCTCAGTGCCTGCCTATGTGTAACAGCATGCTGTCCTACTTCGGGCTATTTCAACTTTTGTTACTATTTCAGCACGGAAAAGAGTCACTGTGTCAACAGAACACTTCCGACTCAGCTGCCAGGCTAAGCCCATGCAGTGTGCACACACGCACTCACAGACTGTGAGTTAGGCAATTTCCAAATAAATTGAGAAGTGAAGCAGTTCAGGGGTGTCAGAATAGTTAGTGTCTCCTTTGGCAGTCTGTCCTGCTTCCATTGTCTCTTCATATTGCTGTCAAATATTTCATCACATGGGAGAAACTAGAGGGTGGAAGGGAGAGAGATAATGAAAATATCCCTACCCATGGGAAGTGAAACTGCCACAGTGCAGGATAAGCAGTGACCTGGAAATGAGGAGTTCTGAGCCACCAGCCTCTTTTGAAAGAAAATAATTTCTTTGCAATACCAGTAAGGCTGTGTATGGTGCTGCTTGTATACACAGGCTGCTGGATGGAATGAGAGGAAAGGTTCCTGTGCGTCTGTGAGTTCAGAATTCCTTCAGGGCTTTGGCAGAAGTGCCGGAAGAAACATCTGAAAAGCAACGGGAAAGACCTACTTCTGTCTTTGTCTAATCATCTGCCATCTCCTGCCACCAAAACTGCAATAGGCACCACAAGGATGGCTGTGAATCACCGTGACTCCTGATTGAGCAGGTTTCTTTTCCTCAGATTTGCTCTTCTTAACGCTTCAGCTGTGCAAGGAACTATCCCAGACTTTCACTCATCAAATGCTTAATGCTTCTGTGTCATAAGAGTTGGAAAATTCTCCAGTTGTTAAACATGGAGTTACTTCGGAGGCTTGTCCATGGCTAAGTTATCTGGTT